TGACGTATGTGGGACAGACCAACAGAAGGATTTCAGCCAGGCTCGAGGAACATCGTTTAGCCATAAGAAACAAACAAACAACATCTGCTTTGTTTCAGCACCAACATCAGACAGGCCATAAAATTGATTTCGGCACTTGCAAACAAATAGCTAATATTCCAGATTTTAGGACTAGGATTATACGAGAGGCCATCGAAATAGAAAAGTCCGGACACCTCAATACGAGAGACGACGCTCTGCATTTATCCAACACGTGGAGAACGATAATCAAACAGCAGAGCGATGCGCAGCAGCCAACGGGAACATCGCAACTACGATCGGGCGAAATTAACAACGCGACAATTCAGGGGGCGGAGCCACCTCCCCCCACGCATAAGCAGCACCGTTACCATCTCCGGCGCAGAGTATAAATACCGCACGCACCGCCGATAACCTCCCAGTGTTCGAAGTGTTTTCGGAACGCGAGCATTGAAGATGCCAAGTGAGATTTTGGCGAAACGTCTGCAGGATTCCAGTCGGATGCAGGATTCCAGTCGGAGTTCAACGAGCGAACGGATGATATCCCGGAATATAGTGTCATCTCATATATATATATATATATATATATATATATATATATATATATATATATATATATATATATATATATATATATATATATATATATATATATGTATATATATATATATATACACATACATGAGTTTGATTTGACACAAGCAGAGTGCATAAACGAATCACTGAATAAGATTATCAAAGGGTTGCATACATTTACTTTTTCTAGGATCATTAGTTTTTTGGTGCAAAGATTGTAAAGCAGCAAGAATATATTTTCTGCGTGACGTGTCCGTTAAAAAAATATTAAGTCTACTGACTCCCAAATCAGTGACTGAACTACCCGAAATGGTGGCTAAAATGGCTCGTGGCTGGGTAACTGGGCTTGATCCGTGTATAATTGGCTATTTTAGAGTAGTGAGTAGAAAGATAGTTATATAACTCGAAGACACGTCATCGTGGACGGTAACATAACAAATATTATCTAATAGTTTAAACATGTCAAATTTCGCACATGATTATTATTGATTATTAATATATTCAGCTTTATTTAATCTGACTTCACATTTTTCGGTCTTTCGTTAGGACGTTCTCACTACAAAACTAAATGTAAACATGTTTGTTGGTATTATGTTTTATTTTGTATTATGCTTCCAAAAGATATAAAAAATATTGAAATCTAATAAGTTTGTTTGTTGTTTGTTGAAAATACAGATATTTCAGCAGAAAAATGAAATGTACTTTTTTTTATTACATTTGTAGAATTCTATTATCTGCTCTTACAAAAGTATTAAAATGTTTACTTTAGATATATAAACTCATTTTTGGGGTAATCGAATATGGAAATAATAAATTATGGTTTTACATTTTCTAGAACAATCTTAAGTCAGTTTTGTTTGCTTAAGCAGGAGGCGCAAATAGTTTAACAATAAAATTAAGCAAGCAAATATTGCCGGAATCAATAATTCACACTGGACAAACACGTTTTAGCCAGACCAACTATCGACCGCGAAACGTCCAGTTTGGTCTAGAAAGTTCGAGCTGAGAGTAATAAAACTAATAATTTATTCAACTTTCCACGAATTTCATAGACCCTAAAAGGGTTTACTACAAATTTAGTGCTTCAAAAAATGTATGCAAACTTCTATTAGTATATATATTGAATTGCGTTTTACTTATTATTTAAAAAATATAAAATTTCGAATTGCCAAATATTAACAAATACTCGACTGTGAAATACTTGATAACAATTTTTCTTAATTATTTGACGAGGTGATTTATATTCAGTGTCCAGTATACCATATAACATTAAAAATATGTTTGTAGCGGGCATAATATTTTTTGTTTGATTTTGAAACGTTCTTCAACATGGAAATGGAAATTTTCAGCTGACACCGGGTGATTCAACGGTGAATGACAGATTACACGTTTATGGCGATCCATCCATTTAAAAATTTTCACCTATGAAACGTTGCCGCTTCTCAGTAGTAGTAGTAAAGATATTTTAAATAAGTATATTATTGGATTTTTCATGCCTTCAACAATTTTGTTTAGCGCTTAACGCGAAATTACTATACTTACTATATTTGAAGAGAGCTAGCTGATTATTTTGTTCTAATTTTCGAAGGTTTCATGTAATAATCTTACGCAGACAAGTTCGCTCTGTAAAACGCAGGGGCGCTCAATTAATGTGCTATCATAAGAGATTGAATAACCGGTGCGATCAAATTTTTAGCAAATTCCTATGTACCTTTTATTTCAGTAAACATTTGGTTATAATACAAAGCGTTAAAGAAGGAACTGTAACTTAATATGGGGAAAATAAAATATAACTAATTAAAAAAAATTGGTTATTTTTTAATAAAATCTTTAGCGAAATTGAACAATTCTTATATCAAATTTTTTCGTACTTGGTTTGCTTTTTTAGTTATTTGGTTGTTTACTTGCTAATTTACAGCAACTTCAGTAAATATATTAAAATATACTAATGCGTTTTGTTCGGGTTCGGTTATGAGCGCAAGAGGATAACAAAAACTGAATATGCTTATTAATACATTTCTGTATTTTCCCAGCGGATACTAGTTCCTAAAACTGGTTTCTTATACTCCTCACCAGAGAGTCAAACGACTAGTTTTCTCATGTATTTTATTGTTGAGTAAAAAGATGGAAAAAATGTTGAATGAAGTATGTCCCCTTATTCAAATTACGTAAGATATGTTAATCTATTGCCAAAGTTAAACTTCTGGTCAAACTTATGCCGATGAGAACATAAAAAAATATATTGAAATGAAAATTTTGCGTTTGGTCACCTCAAATAAAATGATCGTGTTAAGGCCGATACTGCAATATATAGCTGGTAATATTAACCCCTGTGACGGTTTGCAACTTATAGTAAGCGTGTAGTCAATATTTTTATCAAACCTAAACCGGCTTAAAATTCAAGATGGCCGAATTGAAATTTGCAATTATTTTTCAACCATACGCAGCGAACTTAATTGAGAATGCCGGTAATTTTTTAATTCACAGTGGCACCAAAATATTACCCATATGTTTCTTGCTTTTGTTTAACCTTTTATTTGATTGTTGAAAATGGTATCAAGGCGGCTGGCGACATAAAACCAATGGCTTAAAACATATTGGGTAATTATTTTAGAAGTCATTGGATAAGTAAATCATTTTCACTTATATATTTGTTGTATGGAGCTTTTTTTTACTTTTTATGATATTTTCTCTATAAGTTTATGGAAATCGCGCTATTTTTACACACCAAGTGTTTATTTTCTTCCGAGTAAACAAAGATAGGTTGTCTCTTATTGTGGGCAAATTTGACAAAGCTTTTTTGAGATGCAAAGTTCATTCAGATGATTACTCAATTGATATACATGATTGGGATTCCAACTAAAACCTAAGTATTTTTTGCATCAGTCTAAAGAAATCTGAGAAATATTAAAAATAAAGTTGCGATCAAGTATAATAAAGACCTCAATATTTTGTAGAAAGCTCCAAAAAAAAAAAACAAAACATTCAATCTAAAAATTGCCTTAGGTCATTTAAAGACGCATAAAATAAAAAAAGGAAATGTTTTTGATAATTTCACTTGTGGCTTTGGTTATATAGCTTTCAATTTAAGCCCTATTGCAATTTTCATCAAATCGAGATTATTTGACATATACATGTTGAATGTACGATTACCAGAGAAAACACTTCCCACAGCAAAAACCTCAATAATAAATTTTACTTGAAAATATGTAAATATTCATATAGGCACATAGAAATTAAAGTTGAAAACTTTGTAAATATGCTGCCGGACACTCAGCAACGTGTAAGAAAAAATTGTGCACTGTGTGTCCTCGAAATCAATTTGCACATGATATTTGGTATACGCAGGTTTTTCGTTTAAGTTGTATAATTATTATATAACTGATAATATGCAAGGTGGTAAAGCAGCTAATGCACTTTATGATACAATTCAACCAGTTGTTGAAATTAAAAAAAATAATAATTTAATTAAAAATACTGTTTGAAAACCTTTGCAAAAGAAACATAAGTGATTAAATAAGCATGAACACTCTTAAAATTAAAGGAAAAAAACTCACTGCATTTAAAATAGTGGTGAATCCGCTAAGGTACTTTTTTTGTACGTAGCAATTTTTTTTATTTGTTCTTTTTCGTCGCAGGCTGGTATGATTTGGTTTATGGTGGGTTATAAAGTGACACTTTCCGCATTATTGCATCATTATGCATCATCGAGCAACAGGTGTTACTGTAAATCAAAATAAGATTCGTTTAATAAATATGGCGGTCGCTGTTAGTGGGCTGTTGAAAGTGAAATTCGATTTTCGAAATTACTCTCATTTCCATCATTTTATTAAGATTAAAATTTTAGGTTTTACTTTAGACACCTACATTTATTGTAGCACGGGAACGTATCCGCACTGTATTTCTTGAGGTTTCTTTTTTGTTTGATATCTTTATTTTTTATTACTGTTACATTTTGTAGGCTTTTAACGCCGCCTACTTTTCTGTACTAATAATATGGTTATTTCGTAAATTAAACATTACAAGACTTGCTTAGACATCTAGTGCAGCGTGTGGTAAGTTTTTGACTGTATATGGACAGATGTACTGAACCAAAGTTGCATAGAATATATAGTTAAGAAAAAAGTACGGTCCATACCTTTTTGAGAGGGATTAATTCCCATCCAAAAATCGAAAATTCTGTACCCTTTTGGGGATGTAAAGAATTTATTGTCGAAGTATACAAGAGAGATCTAATGGACATCCAATATAAGAGATGGTGTTACGGCTGCGACCGTAATTTAAATTTAATTGCACTTAAGAAATCAATGGAAACGTTGGCAACGGACATAATTCGATTTAGATTTTGAAAATCTCATGTTCCCAAATTTGAATCCGCACTCGAATAGAAAACGTAAGTTCCCTGCCTGGAAGCTGCCGTCTGCACCGACCGTCTGACTGTGCTGCACGTCGCGTCTCGGAGACGCCTGAGGCGTGTGTCTTAATGACACTTTTTCCAACGCACTCTCTTCGAAATGTCTACTCCTTTCCTCAGCGAGTTTCTTTTCTAGTTCCTCGACGTCCACACAGACGCCTTCTCCGTGGGTGCCGGCCGCCCTGTTATCCCCAGTCCACACCTTCTCGTAGAAGCTGACGGTTTCCCTAAGCTTTTTATGCGAAGGACTCTGGGGCGATTCCGGAGGCCTTTTAGGCCCCTCGCCCGGGTCCTTTCCGGACGCACTCATGCCGTCACGGTGCCGAACTCCGGTTTAAGGTACGGCGCCTCATCTGTCAAGACACGTTTATTGCGCTTTTGTTATCGTAATATAATCGTTCCCGCGGACCGCTCGATACTGGAACTCGACGACGTGCAGCTGGTGGAGGAAAGGACAAGTCGATCGCATGGAGGGAGCCGGATAACACGGATTCGCGTTACTCCAGCGCCGTCGCGCCGCGCTACTCTTGCGATTTGTAGTCCGGGTAGTGAAAGATTCGGAGACGCCTTCTTAAAAACTAATCAACGGAAATATGAAGAATTTTGAGATAATAAATAAATGAAAGAATTTTGATTTAACACCCATAATGTTGTCAGTTGCCATATAAAAAATATTATCAATAGCCATGCCGATACGCTTAAATAATTATACGCAGACGGATAATTCAATTTGATTATTATTTAAGGAGAATGTCACAAAGTTATCGAGAAAAACAGAAACCTTCAACATATGCACTGCATATGCAATTAGTAAGATTATAGAAAGTCTCAAAAACTCTGAATCTTTTAAAGTGAAATGGCAGGGAAACAAAGTTGTTGATAATGAAAATATTGAAATACCCTTTTTGGCCTTTTTTTGCTATATATCGGAAAATCTTGGACAAGTGACGTTGGAGTTCGAATCATTCAAAAAAAGAATTAAAATAATCTTCGTGTAAGCCTGCCTGCATGGTTATTGACAATATTTTTGATATGACAATTGACAACAACGTACAAATTACAGATTATAATTAGACTTTAAGAATAGACCAAGTAAAAATAAAACACAAAAGGCAATATCCCGAAAAATATAAATATTCGGAATATACCAATACTAATTAAAAATAGTCCTTTAATTCTAAATAAGATAGGATTATAAAAATGGGTGGTTTCCAGTTAAAAAAAAAGATTTGGTATACACACTCGCTTCCGGTATATCGGGTTGTGCCGCCATATTGGAAATATTTTAACAGGATTGCTCCCACCAATACTAATTTAATTCCAAATTTTCAAATTTGTACTACTGTATAATTCAATTTCATAGATATTTTGAGTTACATACAGTGACGTAAACGTCCTGGGATTTTTTATACACCTTGTAATATTTTCAAGAATTTGCTAAAAAAATATTTTTACTTATGTAACTTAAAATACCAAAATAACTCTAAAATATATTTCCGGTACTTTAGTCACGAATTTTTTTAAACCATGGTACTGTGACATTCACGGTCACGTCACACATCACTTACTAAATATAATCGGGCTGCGTTGTAAAAATGTACTCAAAAGCTAATGGTCGTAGGAAAAGTATAGTATGCAACACGTTGATAAACTTCTTTAATTCTCGTTCATTAAGTACTCGCGTTTTTCAAAGTTATTGAATAAAATACCAGTTTTGTCTTTAAGGTCCAAAATTTTGACAGTGTGATCTTTGAAAAACTTACCGAAAAAAAGTTAACCAAAAAAAATAAGTATTACGTATCTAAATATATCAGGGATGATTAGGGCACAGGACTTGAAAATATCTTCAAAATAGGCCTATTTATATGCCAAACGTACTATATACCTATAAGGTATTGTCGGGACTTGGGGTCACCTAGAATTCTAGTATAGCGTTAACTTATCGATATGTATCTAGCACATGATCCAAATTCGAAATTATATCTTCAGGAGGCTGTTGAAAGTAGGAACCGAAGATCTCCTACAAAAATATATTTGATCTATCCGCTCTTCTTTTTTTTAACAAAGATCTCAAATGAAATTTTTTTCTGACAGTTTCTGAGTAGACATACTCGTAATAATATAATCCGAAAATCTCTTAACATATACCTTTTTCGATTTCTGGTTCAGGAAAATTTTTAATTGCGTCTTTCAATTTTTAAGAGACCGTGACACGAAGGCCTTACTAGAACCCAACCGAAATTCTATATCGAATGAGAATATGAAATATTTTTCTTATCGAAATATTACTAAAAGTGTACGGTTATTTATTTATTCCATATATAATATGTGAAGACAAGTGTAAATTTCGTTCCTCTGTGTGAATGTTTTCAGACAATTCAAATCTTGTCTTATTGCAGGCAAAGACTACTCGCATATGTGGATTTTATTGATTGGTTACTGCCAATTAACGCAGTAATGTGTTGATTCATTCGCCGAAAAAATATAAAGAAGGCTATTCTTTTTTCATATCGCCTGTAGGATTTAAGAAATTATTTAGATCGTAAGTATTGTAGGTATTAAGAGGGTCTTATCAAAGCGGTAAGTAAATAGCACACAACTAAATGACGCTACAATGCTATAAAAGAACAGACGACCAGTTTTAAGAAGAAAACAGGTAAAATATAGATTCAAATACGACAACAGTGTTTGGTTAACAGTTTAAAATATGGGATTAAATATGCAACAAGTGTGGTAAACGGCATTTGAGTCACGAGTCACGAGTCAAGTTTACCGAACGTGTTGCATACTATACTTTTTCTATGACCGTTAGTTTTTAAGTACACTTTTGAAAAACAACATTAATACACTCACTGATATGACCGTCAGAATTTAAAAAACGTCAATATTCTATATATTATCTTCGAAAACAACCAAACTCGTGCGGTAAAATGTCCGAAGTTTTTATTAAGCACTAGTTCTTCTGCGTTCCGCTGCGCTCAGCTATTGCCAAATAATCTCGTGACTCAAATGCCATTTACCACACTTGTTTCCGAAACAATAAAAATTTAGGTTAGGTTTGGTGTAATTGCAGAATTTTTTTTTTAATTATTTTTAAAAGGACTTTTATTACGCAGGGTCGTTAGTTTCAATGGACGAATGAATGAATGAAAAAGAATCTGTAAATTTACGGGCTCAAATGCCAAAACCTGACGCGGAAACATACATTTGTGCTAGATTGTCATTAAATATTATCAAATAGTAAAAAAAATAGTGTAAATTCTTTATTTACAAGACGTGGTATTTTTTCCATCCTACATATAGCTTGATATTGAAAGACTAAGCACTATTTTTCTAAATTTAGATCATGCATCGTACCGAACAATTCTAAACTAAAAACAAAAGTATCACATATTCAAAAATAAATTTTGGTCCATTCTCAATATTTACTTCGTTAATATGATAATTCCTTAATTAATATCATCGTGATTTTGGAAAATTGTTTTAAGAGGTTATGAAAAATCAATTTCTCAATTTCTGACAAACCGGAAGTTAAAATATTTTATAAGAAAATAAAACGCGACTTCTTGTAATGGACAACATCCATCTACGTTGCTGGCGGTGCTCGTTTGTACCTATTTTAACATCATTTTTAAAGTCGCCTGTCCCTGGTAGGAATGAAGTCAATGTACTCGCTGCAAAATCCTATACACCTACATATATCCATCGATTTTTACTTGCATATTATGTGATTTATTCACGACTGCATCACAAATCCCATTTTAAAGCGTGACACCATAATAAGAAAGCTATGAACCGGTTTCTTCGGTTCGTATGTAGAAACAAAAAGGCAGCAGATAAGTTAAACGAGTCAACAGTGCGCGAATAGAACACGCAGAATTTTACAGCCTTTACAGCTGTCGCTGATGGTTTCGTTATCAAAAAATACATAAGTATCAAAAACATCCAATATTTTCAGTGTCTTTCAATGTCAATTTTGCAAACGTTCTTCAAGTTTATGTTAACTTGGGAAATAATCAAAAATAAGTAATAAATAATAATATAAGTATAAATAAAATAATAAAGTAATTAATAACGTCTTAGTTATTACATATACATATAATATGAGAATATAATGAATTTTAACTAACTTTTGATTTTTTCACGTTTTTCCAAACTAACTTGTTGTTAGTAACATCCTAATTTATAGAGAAATCGGAATTAAATTACTTAAATTGACTAGAATGAATACTTTAATGAGGTGTTCTTTCAAATCATCTTAAACACTCAATTTAAAGTTGAAGTATATATGGTTTTAATGTTTTAAAATCAAATAAAGTTTAGTTCAATTGATTACAATAAAAAGAGGTAACTGATTTCAAAAATACTTCAAAAGTTCTAAAACCATATCAACTTTGCATCAATTTTGACGATGTCTATAGGTGCATTTCAAGATTTTCTTTGAAAAGGGAAGGAAAACTTTCTGATCACTCATTAATAAAAAATGTTCTAATATGATGCGCACTTTAATGGTGACACAGTGTGTTCCATTTCCTGAGTCAGTAAAGAATATTGTAGTTGTCGCAGATTACTTGAAAGTAACTGACAATTCCCAAAGGTGCCTAAAGGTTTTGGTGCAAAATTATCAATACTTATGGATAAAAAGATCTTAAACAATTTTCGTGATTTATTCTTGGCATATATGTGATTATGATATGATATGATATGATATGATATGATAGAATTCTTTTACATTACCTACCGCACAATTTTGAATGGAAATTTAAAAATTACGATTTTTCTTGTTGTCTATTAAAATAAATCTATATGTAGAGATATATATTTTTGTACAGCCTGTAATAAAAGCAATTAATTTTTGAAGTATAGGATATTTCATTCAAAGCTAAAAAAACATTCTGAAATTACGTTTTTAACAAGAGACAACCGAGATATAAAGCAAATCTGAAAATTCAATTTAAATATCGCCCTATAGCTAAGAAACTAAAAGGGATAACATAATGATAACATAATAATCTTTGGTTGCGCAAAAAAGGTATATCGAAAATTCTCGAAAATCGCAATCTAATATAGGTTTTTAAAACAACGTTTGGGTTTGTCAAATGCGGCGGTGAAATTAAATAAGTCACTCGCGAAACGTTTAAACTTAATTGAAGATTTGTTTCGTCGAAAACAACAACCAAAGTCGCTAAGAGCTAAAACTGTATACACAGTATTATTCATTATTCATACACTACTGACAATTTATACAGGGTAATCCAATTTGAGGTTATATTGTTGCTACTTAAAATCAAACACAATGAGCATTTTTTCAAAATTGTGCAATTGTAATGCAAAATTATATTTGATCCTTACCTTAAATCCGATACTAATAAATTGACTCTGTTGTCATTTTTGACCACTGACCACTGATTAAGCGATGAAAGAT